AAAGTTTCAGGAACTGAGGGGAAGGGAGGGTGGGTGGAGCATATGCCTCATAGGGGAATCACACCACTAAATTGTTAATTTCAGCTCTAGAATCTTCCGAGAACATCAGCGCAGGTGCAGACAAAACCCATAAATGTGTGAATTCACATAGGACCACTCGAAGAACTATGTTTACAGGTAAGTAACCTTTTTCATTTGTTGATCGAGGGAGCATTTTGAGACTTAGTCTCCTTGTTTTATCTGTTTGTTTCTTAGACATCTGGGTACTTAAATTCTGTACCACATCACACATTGTGTCTGCCATATAATGGGATTAATCAGTTTGGCTGTTTTAATTATCTGTCCATTCCACCCAACAGGAAAAGTGATCAAAGCCCAGAGGCAGCCCATTATCCAGGCTCTAGGAAAGGCATGAACTCTAAAGTTGTAGGGTCAGAGCTCCATTCCTGCTTAGATTATGAGTGTCTGGTCTGTAGCTAAGTAGTTGGGCTTGTCAGCAAGCATTGATTTTCAGGTGATGACCATATGCTATCCGAAAAGCTGTATTCCCAGCCTTTGCTTTGAAGCAAGGGTTGACTACACATGTGAGTGGTCAAAGTCTGAATGCCCATCATACTAACAATGAACACTTTCACTTTGGCATGCTTATGGCCAAATTATTTGGATCAATGTTGTCTCCTTGCAATTGAACCATTACAGCCTTGTACAAGTTAAAGATTCTTCCAGAGTGGGAGTAGGAGGTTATGTTTTAAAGATCTTGGAAAGTGTTCAAGTGTTTCCCACTCTATAAAATAAGATTCAAAAGAAGCAAAGTGGACTTTGAAAGTTTATTTTTATTTGGACCTTGTTTTAGTGGTGAATAAGGTGGTGGAATAAAAACGAGTCATACTTCATAACTTGTTTTAAAAAGTGCAGCCTGTTTTTAAATGCTTTGAAATCTGTGCCAAAGCTATATTGTCTTTGGCAGAATCCCTGAATAGACATCCTTGACCTGTTTCTCGTCATAGTGTAAGGGTGACTAAAGCTGCTGCAGTAGCCCTATATAGTTTCAGCCTCCATTCTGTCTTTATTTTAAAAAAGAGGCTCTCTGCAGCACTGGAACTGGTAGGGAACACAGAGAGGAGTAGAAGAGTTGCTGACTGCCAGTGGAGTAAGCATGGCCTTTTCTAGAAAGCACTGGATCTCCCCATTTTCACCGATTTCTGTTTTTCAAAAGGGAAGGTAACTTTCAGTTATTTTGGGGTTGGGAAGGCTATGCCAGTCCTAAAACGGCTATGTGGGGGCTATGAAATGGTCTTCAAATAACCGCTCATGCCCCAAGAGGCTTTGGGGAATGGAATTAGTCACTTTAGGCCAGATGTTTCTTCCCCAGCCTGAGAGGTGGGGTCCTTGCCATAAATGGGAAGTGACCTGATTGCAATTAACAACCCATATTTGCAAGATGCAATATTTGCAACCCCTTCACGGATTGCTGCCTTGTCGTGGCGAAGGGGCTTGAGTAATTCAGAGAAGCTATGGGCTGTGCCGTGCAGGGACACCCAAGACGGACGGACATTCTAGCAATGTATGGAAGTGAGAGCTGGACTATAAAGAAGGCTGCCCACCGAAGAATTGATGCTTTTGAACTGTGGTGCTGGAGGAGATTTTTGAGAGTCCCCTGGACTGCAAAGAGAACAAACCTATCCATTTCGAAAAATGAACCCCAAGTGCTCACTGGAAGGACAGATCCTGAAGCTGAGGCTTCAATATTTTGGCCATCTCATGAGAAGAGAAGACTCCCTGCAAAAGATCCTGATGCTAGGAAAGTGTGAAGGCAAGCGGAGAAGGGGATGACAGAGGACGAGACGGTTGGACAATGTCACCGAAACTACCAACATGAATTTGACCAAACTCTGGGGGGGGGCATTGGAAGACAGGAGTACCTGGCGTGTTCTGGTCCATGGGGTTACGAAGAGTCGGACACGGCTAAACAACAATATTTGGAAGGTACACTAGAAAGAATGAGAGAGCATTTTTTTTCCAAAAGTAAAGTTGCAAGCTGTCCCTTGTTCCTCCTAGCCCAGTATTGCCTGTCTTGACTTGCACCAACTCTCCGGGTTCAGACAGGAGTCAGTTGGGTTCTCCCCCCCAGCCTTATCAGGACATGCTAGATATTGAACCTGGAACCTTCTAAAGGCAAAGCATGTGCTTTCCCACTGAGCTATACAGCCCTTACATCCTTGATACTGTACATTTAAGACACGGAGGATGAACTCTTTTATGACCTGTAGACGAGAGAGAAGTTTCTGCCCAGAGAGAATAAAGCAAAATGATGGAAGAGGAAAAAAAGAGTAAAATAATATGTAGGGCAGGGGGGAGAGAAGAAGAACAAAGCAAGGCCAGAAAGATGGTAATATGAAGAAGAGGGATGATGAAGCTGAGGAAAGAAGCCAAGCAGGAAAAAGTGAGCTGAGAAAGAAAAAGATGGTAATATATTTGCTGTAGGTACAGATGAAAAGGGTGAAGTAGTTTTGAAATGAGCCAACAGCAGTCTAAATGAGCAGTACAGTGGTGCTTCGCAAGACAAATGCCTCACAGGAGAAAAACTCGCAAGACAAATGGTTTTGGCAATGGGGGGGCGCGGCGGCTGATGACTCGCAAGACAAATGTTCCTATGGCTGTGCTTCCCAAGACAAATGTTTTCCGTTTTTTCTTCCTGCCTTATGCTTGCTGATGTTTAAATGTTTTACTGTTTTCCGTTTTTTTCTTCCTGCCTCATGCTTGCTGATGTTTAAATGTTTTATTATGATGTTTAAAACTTTAAAGTTTTTTGATTGAAATTTTTAAAATCATCTGCACAATATGTATGGCTTTAAAGAGCACTTAATAAACCCTTTGTAAACCAAATTCGACTTTTTTCTGACTTTTTTGCCCATAGGAACGCATTAATTAGATTTCAGTGCATTCCTATGGGAAAACGCGTTTCACAAGACGAATGTTTCACAAGACAACATTAACCACGGAACGAATTAAATTAGTCTTGCGAGGCACCACTGTAGTTCCAACATCATACATATGTGCTGAAGCCTATGTTGGACTTAGTATGATCTCTCTGAGCAACTAGCACAACTTATAGCAACAACCCTACGTCATGTTTTGGTGGAGAGAAAATATAGCAATTAAATCATTTGAAGTAGCTGATGATCACTGCTATTTAGGGGCTTGCAGCTGTTCCTTATATTTCTTGGTATTTCCCAAATGATGGTCAATGTAATGCAAAACAAACAACCCCAGACACCGTTCTGTGCAGAAAACCCTAAGCAGAGATCTACAATTAAAACTACTTCAGGCTTCGAGACAGGTCCAGACTTAAAACAGAACTGCTGAAATTGGCATCCAGGTGGGTGGTTGGAGTTAGTCATGTGATCAATTTAAGTCTCAATAATTTCAGTGGGTGTTCTCTAAGAATCTAGATTCAACCTTTTAGATATTGGTAGTCTTAGCTAGAGTAGACTTATTGGATCAGTGGAATGTCTGTAGGTGTTGACTTAATGTTCAACAACTGTTTTAGTGTGTCTACTCTAATATTTTTTTTAAAGAATTTATATGCCACCCACTCTACCCAGAGGTCTCTGGGTGGCTTACAACAATTAAAATTCAATACAATAAGAGATAAAATGATTAAAATACAATTAAAATTGCCATCAGGTACTACCAATTGAACTTGGTACTAATAGGTACTACCAATTGAACTTGGGTTGTTGCTTTTATTTAAGGGGATGTTTCTGAAACATCTTGAACTCCCTGCTTTCTAAACTTAATACTGTATTAATATTGCCTGTCTTCCTAATAACTTTTTATTGGTTATATAAAGATTGGATCATATTTTAGCTGCAGCAGTTTTATTGCAGTCAAAAGACCAGAAATAAGCATGCAAGATAACAATGTATCACCTTAAAGTTAAGGGGAGGCTGCCAACATGAATTTGACCCAACCCAGGGAGGCAGTGGTAGACAGGGGGGCCTGGTGTGCTCTGGTTCTTGGAGTCATGAAGAGTCGGACACGAGGAAACGACTAAACAACAACAACATGGGACCTGGGGGGCTCCTATTGTTCATGCCTGTGGGAACTGTAGTTGATGAAGTTCTTCTGCCTTTGTCCCTCTATACACCATCCTGTCACACTTTCTGTGATTCTGATACTAGCTGAGCAGAAAACAAAGTAAGTCAAAAGCCTTGAACAATCAGTTTTTATTATAATACTCTTGCTTGAGTGCCTGTCAATCTGAAAATTTGGTATATGTAATTTTCATAACAATTATCTACAAATAGAAGCATGTTGTTGCCAGAAGCGGGGGGCTGTGAATGTTGCTTTTGTAGAGTTCCTTGCAGATATTCCTCTGAAAATTGGCAGGTGTGATCTTCTTAGAAGGACTAAGTGTCACAGCAAATTGAATCCCGTTCTGCAAAGAAATAATTAAAATAACTTTGAAATTATTATTATTTATTCATCTGCTGTTCTTGTGTGTAGCATAAAGCCTCGACACTTAATCAGTTTGGCAAGTGTTATCCTTTAATAAGGGTCTGCTGTACCAGAAAGTTTCAAGAAGAATTCTTAAAAGAGGAATATTTTATAATAGTTGTGATCAGAAAGTAGGTATAAATTCAAACCTAGTCAAATTTAGAAAGATTTGTGAATCAATTGCAGTTCAGGCATTCATTCATTTAGGCCTGCTCTGTGATTTAATTCCAGTCCACTCAATAATATGAAATAGAACAAAACAGGATGTTCAACAAAGGTGATGTCTAAAAATCAAAGCACCAAGGCATTCAAAGAAGCATTCTTCCATTGGTTTAACCTGTGGAGCATAACACGATCTCCTCAGAATGGAAACAATTCTCTGCTAGTCCCTCATCTCTTAAATCCATTACTGGACATCCTAAGGCTGGAAGGAGACATTTATTTTATCACTGAGCTTGTCTGGACCCCCCAATTCTAACTGACTGTTTTCTTCCATTTAGGGATCCATTGTTGTTTTAGGCAATAAAACTGATCTTCTGGAAGAGAGACAAGTGGAGACCGAAGCAGCACAGCAGTGGGCCAGAACTGAGAAAGTCAAACTGTGGGAAGTGATGGCAACTGATGGGAAGACACTGGTAGAGCCTTTAACAGTATTAGCAAGCAAACTCTCTCAGTCTCAGAACAAATCAGCATTTCCTTTGCCTGGACGGAAGATGAAAGGGAATAATGATGACAGCTAAAACTGTTCTGCAAGGGTTGCTTCTTCCTGCTGGGTCACGTGTTGCCCTTTTCTGGTTCCTTTGTCACCCCATGAAACATTAATAGGGTCAAATGTCAGAGTGGGTAAAAAATCCTTATGCCCCCATCTTCTGCTTTGTATCCCTAACAGAAATTCCTTTTGGTTTCTAAAGCAGTTGAAAAGCCAGAGAGAACAGTGTGAGGATGGGCTTTGAATGTTTTGGCATAAAAGCATTAAAATGGTCACTGTGGTTTGTGCTTAATAAACAATTGGGTCTGTAGGTGAAAAGGAACCAATGCACCAAAGCAAAAGGCACAGTGTTCCAAAACAGGGGCACTTAAGATATTTTCAGATGAGACTTCTACGGTGCATTTGCCCTGTGTCGATCCTGGAACTTCACCTCATCTTCCTCCTATAATCCTTCTAGTTGTAACCTGCTGCAGCTTTGGTCTCATTTCTTTATACACACACAAAAGGAAAAGAGAATAGTTGTACACTATCTTTTGATGGGTAAAGCTACGAGACCTGTGTCTAGAAACACTCCTCAGATCCAGCTGGCAAACTACTCTTTAAGCCACTCGGTGTATTGCAAAAGACCATTAGCATTCTGATTAACAAATGCAATATGATAAATTCCTCAACTTTTAGCATATGCATTTTGTGGTTGCATGGCTTATTGAAACAGGAGAACCTATTGGGATCCAGGAAGGCTCTAAAAGTCCCAAGTACATGACTTGCATCTTCTTTTTTTGAACATCTTGACATTGCCGCTCCTGCTTCTGATCCAACTAGTACCGTATCCATTGGCTGTCATAAAGCAGTTGTTCCTTTTGGGAGCAGCAAAGAGATATTTTTCAGGTTAGAGGTTCAAACAGAAGTAGTAGATTTTCTGTGCTGTGAATTTTTTTGTGTTTTAGTGTATTTTTTTCAGCACCAGCGCCTTCCAACATGGCTGTTGTGTGCTTTATTTTTGGTTTTTTTTCTAAAACCCCAGTGCCTTCCGATAGGGCTGCTGTGTGCTTTATTTGTGGTTTGTTTGTTTTTAAAAGCCCCAGTGCCTTCCAACGGGGGGTATTATTTTTTTGGCTGGAACGGATTAATCGCATTCCAATGCATTTCAGTGGGAAATGGTGCTTTGACTTACAACCATTTCGAGTTACATCCATCTTCTGGAACGGATTGTGGTTGTAAATTGAGGCACCACTGTATCTGTCTACAGTATAGTAGTGAAAAGTGTGTGGCCCTCCAGATATGTTTGGACTAGATTTCCATTGTTGCTGATCATTGGCCATGATGGCTAGGGCTAATGATATTTGAAGTCTAACAACTTCCTGGAGGGGAACTAATGATCCACCTCTGCAAAATGGATAATAGTTTTCCCCTCCCACCTTTTTTTAAATTTGGCCAACACCGTGCTTTGTTCAGACAGGTAACTTACTGTGTGATTCAGACTGCATTGTATATTTTATTGAAATCAGCCCCTCTTTTTATATATATATATAAATCAGATCACCAGTTGTGTCCCCATCCTGGCAACGGTGATCTAGCTGGTTTTTGTTTTGTTTTGACAAAGTCTCCCCTCCGAGTTAGGCTACCAAAGTCTTAGCCAGGAAAAAAGGGAGCCCCAGGGAGCCTCAGAACCTAAAAGGCAGGAAGAGGAAGCTTTTTATTACTTTAAATTAAATGCTTCTGGGCCCAATCTGGGTTATGCTGGCACAGAGTTACACAACAGAATTTTGCCAACTGAGGCATATTTCTAAGCAACACATGTAGGATTGCACTGTAAAACAAGAACATTAAAACAGCTTATACATAAGCTATACAGAAACTATCAGGGGAGTTTTAAAAAGCACCAAGCAGTACAAAAATGCTATGTAGAGGATTTGCATTGCAGAAATAGGAAATTATGGTACAAAAATGCTATCAAGTAGGCACCACAGCCAACGTGCTGCCACCAAGTGAGCTCTTGCCATTGTAGGCACATGTCAAAGAATTATGGAGGTCAAGAAGTCTGATTGCTTGATTATATCATGAAAATATCACAGATGTTTTTCATCACATCCACTGTTCTTTTATGATGTATGAGATTCTTAATTTATCAACTTTGTTTTTATCAGTTCTGATAAATGCAAAAGTGGAACCAACATTTTCTGGCTGGCTCCTTGGGAACTCTCAGAAGCAGAGTTGAAGAAAATTTCCACTTTCTAATAATGAAAAAAAGGCATTTAAAGAAACAGGTTGAAACTTCCACACGGATAGCTATTTTTGTGGCTGTTACAACACACTGTAAACTAATACATACTCTTGTGGTACCTTAAAAGAAAGTTTTATTTCGCATGCATTTTTAAAGAAAACTGTATAGCCTGCTTCTTCAGATGCAGATAAATCTTAAGAGACATCAGTAGAAGTGGGGCACAGTCCATGGAGGCTTATCCCCTCAAATAAAAAAACATTCTTAGTCTTTAAGGTACCACAAGACTTCCTGTTGCTTTTGCCACACAATGCATCCTGTATTTGGCAAAGAGCCATCTCCCTTTAGTCCTAAATGCAGCTCCTGAGAATATAGCAGAGGAGGTTTCTCTACACCAGTGTTCCCCAACCTTGGGCCTCCAGATGTTCTTGGACTTCAACTCCCAGAAATCCTGACCAGCAGAAGTGGTGGTGAAGGCTTCTGGGAGTTGTAGTCCAAGTACATCTGGAGGCCCAAGGTTGGGGATCGCTGCTCTACACCACAATGCAGATCGTTCTATCTAATCTACCATCAGTAGCTCCAATTTGTTAGGAACTATCAAATTCTTGGTATGTTTGTGCATTTGGCATAGTCCTATCTGACCACCTTCCACAGAAGTCATGTCTCCTATCCATCCTACTGCCAATGATGCATCCCCCTTGTCCACAAATGTTCTTCTTGAAACTGGATGGGATGTCAGATACATCATCTTGCTGCCAATTCAACATATATTTCCAGAGCAATAACAATGTCTTATACAGAGAACAAAAACAGTAATTATACAGGAACACAAAACAGTAATAATGCATGATTTTGTTAATTATAGCAACCACAAATATGAGTATTTATCTAAAAATCTGACTATTACAAATGTATTTTAAATTGTTATGGCTAAGAATAAATAGTAATGGGTACATAACATTAAATAAGGAAATAAGTAACAAGTGAGGAATTATATTTGGATTTAGTAACGGCTGTAGAAACTAATATAAAAAGCAAAAGGCAGAGATACAGAGGTCTCCACTTACCCATATCTGAATTGTGAAATAGACTTTCAGGTGCAGTGAGGATTCTGTATTCCACTATTCTATTTAAGGATGGTAGATATTCATGTATTTGGAGGAAAAGAACCATGCAAAGGGCAGGCAAAATGAAGTTGCAGTTCTATGAAATTGTGTACTTCCTAATAACAGGCTTTTATAAAGCTCTTTTCCCACTTTCTCCATAATTTGGGTGTTTGAAAAAAGGCTGTTTAAAATGTTGCATGGTTCTAGAGAAAAAGGACAGTTTTCCAAAGTTTTCCATAATGTACAAACATATGCTGTGGAAACATAGTACCCTGCTGTAGTTCACAGGAGTTGTTTATATTTCATACCAAGGGTTTTTTTGTCCATGCATTGGTGTTCTAGCACTAAACTCAGTAGTTTGTCTTAAAAAAAAAAACTTCGGGGTGACTTGGAAGAATAATGGGGTTGATGTTCCCATTGTCCAAAACATCGTACGCAGCTTAGTACATTGTCAGAATATCACAGTTACTTTCCTCTGTCCTTTTGCACAATGAAACAATTACTCACATGGGAAAAAGTCTGTTCAAATTGTTCCAGCTTGAAAAAAGTACAAGTTCCTAGAAGCAGAAAAGCAAACTCCACATTGGGAGCAAAAAGGACTTGACTGATTCAAATAGGTCTTTGCATCACGTGACTAGTAAAATGTGTACATTCATCTGTTTTATATCCACAGCAAATCTCTCAATATCTGCCCATGTAGTTGCAGCCTAAGCGTCAATTTGTGCTGCTATAGATGGCACATTATTATATGAATATGTGGTGCTGAACTTTTGTCAGAATGTGATTAGAGCTATTTCAACAAGACAGAACTGTAAATGTGGAATTTTTGTACATATTTTTATTAGCACAGTAACAAATGCAGACTTAGGTAGCCCACAACATACAACCAATCCACTGAGTGACTCCTATTCCACGCCTTACAGTTAAACAGCTTAAGGTATTTCACTACAGGTTGCCCTAAGTCCCAATTAAAACCTTTATTTTCACAAAGGTAACTTGGCATAGAAAAATGAATACATGAAGTACTTCCCCTACGGTAGGTGACACAATGTACTGCCACCCTGCCGCCATATTTCTTCTTAGTGAGATGGCAGTCTTTTTAAAAGGATTTGTTAAATACCAAACTCTCCCACCTCCCAGGGGAAAAATATTCCCAACATCTTTTTACAAAATAAAACCAAACTAAAAAAAAAGCACATAGCAAGTCTTCTTGAAAGAACTTTTACGTAAATGCCAAATATATGTAGCTGTACAAAATTAAGCTGTTTTAATCTTTTACCTATCACAAGTAACCAAACACCCCATCCCTCCCACCCTGCCAATTGTCAAAGTAGTTTACATTCTTCTTGGTGCTATATCAGAGCTACTATTGCTGAACTAATGACAGTCTTAAAATATGCTATTGCCCCATTCTACTGTAGCAAGATACCTTAAGTTACAACAACAAAATCTTAGGAAATAAAAGACTGAATAAAATCTGTTATAGAAATATCCTACTCTTTATCAGTTTCTCCCCTTCCCTGTCCCACCCCTTCAAAATCATAAGCAGCTCTTTCCATCACAGACAATTTAACGCAAGGGTTTGACAAAAAAATCCAGTTTATGTAGCGTATCTCTTGGTCCACTGTCTGGCCATTCTGTCATGCTCTGCTCTGTTAGTCATATATTGAGTAGCAATACTTCCAACGAGAGGGTCAGCTACAAAACAAACAAACAAATTCCAGATCATTGAGGCAACACATAGAAAAGGCGCAAGAAAAGAGGCCACATTTTCTTGGTCCTAAAGCAAAGATCCAATGATTCAACTACTAGAAATGTGTTTCAATATTATATATTTTTCAATAACTTTCCTTTTAGGCTATAACCTCATACCCATTTACTCAGAGGAGCAGGGTATTCTTTTTCTGAATCCACATATATACAGTTTGAACTATTAGTACTGGTATAGGTTTA